AGCTCACAGGCAAACCTACAAACTCCTGGCTCAAGCAATCCTCCTGCTTCAGCCTCCCGAGTAGGTGGGACTACGGCATGAGCCACCATGCCCGGCTAATTGTTTGTATAATATTAGTTGGCCAATTAATTTCTTTCTATTTTATAGTAGAGACGTCGGTGCTCTTGCTCAGGCTGGTTTCGAACTCCTGACCTTGAGCAATCCGCCCGCCTCGGCCTCCCAGAGAGCTAGGATTACAGGCGTGAGCCACCGCGCCCGGCCTAGTTAAAAGTTTTGTAGATATTTCCTTACCCCCATTTTGCCTTTATATCTATTAATTTCCTGAAAGAAAAAAAGTAAGATTTTTATTAGTCTTGGGTTCTGAGGATGTCATACCCTTACTTATTGATACTAAAGCCAAATTTAATTTTTTAAATTAATTTTGGGTATCCACTAAGCAAAGAACTATTTTTTTAGTTTTGCTTTTTTTTTTTTTTTTTTTTTTGAGATAAAGTCTCACTCTGTTGCCTAGGTAGGGTGCTGTGGTATCAGCCTAGCTCACAGCAACCTCAAATCCTGGGCTCAAGCGATCCTCCTGCTTCAGCCTCTCAAGTAGCTGGGACTATAGGCATGCACCACCATGCCAATTAATTTCTTTCTATTTCTCAGTAGAGACAGGGTCCCCCTCTTGCTCAGAGTGGTTTTAACTCCTGTGCTTAAGCCGATCCACCAATCGTTATAGTCCGGCTAGGATTACAGACATGACCACCGTGCCCACCCTATTTTTACTCTTGTGAGGTCAATACTTAGAGGATTTTTTTCTTTTTTCATTTCTTTTAATCATTCTAATTAAATGAGGAGAAAATGTCATTGTTGTGGGTACTATTCTTAACTATTCTTAAACCCTTTCTTTTTTTTTTTATTTCGGCATATTATGGGGGTACAGATTTTAAAATTTGAATAAATGCCCCTCCCCCCCACCCCCACTCCGCTCCCATACTTAGAGGATTTTTTAAGATGGTTAATGAAATCTTGTGAACCTAAAGAGAAATTATGATGATTAAAAAATGACCAGGGGCCGGGCGCGGTGGCTCAAGCCGTAATTCCATAGCTCTCTGGGGAGGCCGAGGGGGCGGGGCGGATGCGCAAGGTCAGAGGAGTTCCGAAACCAGCCTGAGCAAGTGTGAGCGAGAGTCTGCTTATTAAATAGAAAAAATTTAATTGGCCAATAATATATGGTAATAATTACGCTGATGTGTGGCTATGTGTTGTCCAGCACTCGGTTGAGGCTGAAGGCAGGATAAGATTGCTTGAGCCCCAGGTGGGAGTTTGAGGTTGCTGTGAGGCTTAGGCTGGACCGCACGGCACTTCAGACAATTGGAAGAATTCCTCTGCCCTTCCTCTGTCCTACAAATTCCTCTGCCCTACAGTTTTACTTAGGGTCTCTCTTGAGTTTATTCATAGACATAGTAAAACGCCATGTGGGTGGGCTGGGCAGGAGCAATGCACATACTGGCCCAGAAAGGCTGTTTGCCACAATTTCAGAGAAATGTCCTCTTTGTTGTGATCACCTGCAGAGCACAGAAAATCCTTGCTTCTAGGAAGCTGATGTCTAGGAGAAGGCTGGGCTGAGGGACTTTCTGAGGCTTTTCATATGCAGAAATGGAATGGCATTTGCAAGCCTATCACATCAAG